AGCCTTCTGAGTAGCTGGGATTACAGGCTTGCACCACTGTGCCCACCTTGTTACATTTTCCTGTCCTGAGCTAAGTCAACCTAATTATTCTCTTCTTATTTAGAACTACTAATACTATATACACCAAATTGATTTTGGAACCTGAAGCATCTGCAGCTGTGTTAGGTCCTGTCTAAGAGTATTACATACATCTTCTTTAATCCTCACACTAGCTCTGCAGGGGAGGGTTAAGTCTTTTTTACAGATGACAAAATGAATTTAGGAGTTTGAGACTTTAAGTGATCAGCAGCAAGGACACACGGTAACAATGAAGTTGAGAATGGAATCCAGGCTTGTATGGCTACAAAGTCCATGCCCTGTTAATTAGTTTTGTTATTAATGGGACTTATGTCTCTTCTATTTGAAACCAGAAAAATTATGCAATTGTGCTTTTGAGGACAAAGGAAAAATTAGAATAATTTTAAAATAACTACTTACAAACAGGTATTCTACTTTCTTGCAACAAATGATTATTTCTGAAAGAGTCATTAAAATGAGATTTCTATCTTCCAGTTTCAAGTATCACACCAAGATAGACTATGTGAGCTTATAAATTCATCTAACTTTTTTTTTTTGTACCAGGGATCGAACTCAGGATCTTGTGCTTGCGCAGCAGGTGGTGAAACCACTGAGCTAAATCCCCAGCCCTGTTATGTGCTTTTATAACACATTATAACACATTTTTTTTTTTGGTATATCTTTTTATTGGTACATTTTAGGTGTACAATATAATGACATTCGTCATTGGAGATATGCACCTTTACATACTCTCTTGGTTCTTATTTTTTCCCCCTTCCCCTGCTATAACATTGTTTCCTGAACTGCAAGGGACAATAATTCAGCAGAGCACCAACATAGTCAGTGAAATAAATTAAATATTTGTAATCCAACTTAATTAATAGATGGATGGCAGCTTAGTGTAGCCAATTTGAAGATCAAACTCCTATTCCACTATTTGTTTATGTAACCTTGGGCAAGTCACTTACCCTTTCCAAACTTCAATTTTTATTTTTTGTTTTGTTTTGTTTTTGGTACCAGGGATTGAACTCAGGACCTTGCACTTTTGAGGCAGGCATGGTGCCACTGAGCTAAATCCCCAGCCAAAATACCCAAACTTTAATTTTCTTAACTGTTTTTTTAATATATATTAATTGGTACATTTTAGGTATACATTTACATTTATCATTGGGTGCTTGTACCTGAACATGATGTATCTTAGTTCTTATTTTTTCCCCCATTACCTATGCGCCCTTCACCCCTCCACCCTTCCTTATTTACATAGACGTTATTTCCATTGTTTTTTTCTTTCTCATAATTTTTCCTTTCCCTTCTTCCCTTTCCCCTTCCCTTCCCACCACCCCTACACCTTTGGACCTTTTCCTATTTCAAATTATCAATTATTCATTTTAATCATTTTCATCCTTATTTATACTTTCAGTTTCTCACACTAGAGAAACTGTTCGGTATTTACATGTGTGTCCTATTTATTTCACTTAAGAGTATGGCTTCAATATACATCCATTTAGCTATAAATGACTAGTTTCTCGTTCTTTATGGCTGCATAGTATTCCATTTAAAAAAAAACAACCCCATCTTCTTTATCCAGTTTCCAGTTGATGGGCACTTGGGCTGTTTCCAAACTTTAGCTATTACAAACTGTGCCACTATAAACATAGGTACACATATATCACTGTGGTACGATTCTTTTAATTCTTTGGGGAAGATACCCAATAGAGGAATAGCTGGGTCAAATGGGACCTCTAGTCCTAGTTCTTTGAGGTATCTCCACACGGATTTCCACAGTGGTTGCACCAGTCTGCACTCCCACCAACAATGGAGAAGGGTTCCTTTCTCTCCACACCCCTGCCAGCATTTGTTATTGGTTGATTTCTTGATAGCAGCCATTCTTTGTGGGGTGAGGTGGAATCTCAGTGTTGTTTTCATCTGCATCTCTTGAATGACCAGTGATGTGGAACATTTTTTCATATATTTATTTGCTGTTTTTACTTTGAGAAATGTCTGTTCATTTCAGATGCCCATTTTTGAATTGGGTCTTTGAATTTGGGGGGTCTGATTTTTTAAATTTTCTTAACTGTTAAACCCAACTGTGCAGTATTGTTGTGAGAATTAGAGATTATAATATGATAAGTTCTCCATCATACTGGCTAACAAATTAGTACAGTCTCAATAATTTTTAAGTCCAAGACATTGAGGAGGCCAGATGATTTTACGTATGTTGAACCATCCTTGCATCCCTGGGATAAATCCGACTTGGTCAGGGTGTATGATCTTCTTGATGACCCTCTGTATTCTGTTAAGGCCAGATGACTTTGAGGTCTTGATGAACTTTAATAGATAAAAATGACATCACTATCATACCAACTGTTAGAAAATAGTGGTTATTAGGGCCAGGGATTTAGCTCAGTGGTTCCAGCACCTGCTTGAAAGCACAAGGTCCTGAGTTCTATCCTCAGTAGCCCCCCCAAAAGAAAATAATGGTTATGATAAAAATACCTGGGGGCCAAGGATTTAGCTCAGTGGTGCCGGTGCCTGCCTCACAAGCACAAGGTCCTGAGTTCGATCCCGGGTGCCAAAAAAAGAGAAAAATCCTGAAGTTTCCCAGTATGTATACTCTTTCAACTTACTTATTTTCCCATCATCCTGGCTCCTACTACAAATTTACTAGGAAAATCTCAAAAACATGAAACAAATGCTAGACCAACATAAAATAAGTCTCAGCTTAATTCCCAGCCAAATCAATATTAAGGAGCTTGCTCATAGAAGCCCACATGTAAATGTGTGTGTGTGTGTGTGTATATGTGTGTTACTGGGGACTGAATCCAGGGCCTTTGCACTGAGTTACAGCTCTGGTCCTTTAAAATTTTTGTTGCTGTTTTTGAGAGTCTCTTTATGTAATCCAGGGTGGCCCTGAATGAACTATGGCCTCAACTTGCTAAGTTCCTCCTGCCTCATCCTCCCCAGTGCTGGGATCACAGGCATGTGCCACCATGCCTGGCTTTTGAAGAAAAAAAAAATTGGCGGTGGTAGGGGGGTGAGACAGGGTCTTGCTATGTAGCTCAGGCTGGTCTCAAAACTCACAGTGATCCTCTTGCCTCAGTGTCCTAAGTGCTAGTATTATGGGCATTTGCCACACTTCGTGGCTTTTTAAAAAAAACTGATTATCATCATGCAATGTAAGTAAACAAAACAGGGGAAGCAACCGCATTTAGATTTAGATTCCAAAGACTTGAAAGTGGCCAACACGGAACACCCTAAACCTCGCTGGAACTGTCTTCGTAGCACTTTGTAGGTGAAAAGGGCAAAGCCGGCTAGCCACAATGGTTAAGCAAATAGCATAAAGAAGGACTAACAAGGAGAAAAAGACCAGCAACATCAGCAAAAGCGCTTCTAAAGCAAGGTGGAGGGAGGGGGCACATATCCAAATTATAGTATATGGGGAGGGTGTGGGGAGTCACCAAGCAATTTAGAATGTCGAGTAAACAGAGTTCCTAAGAGGCTGAAAAATAACTTAAGAAGTGAGATGCAGCTAAAGGAAAGGCAGCAGCTACCAGCTGGGGATGGGGGTGGCAGAGAGTGAGAGTAGGGTGGCTCCTCTCCCTGAGCTGCATAAGCCGGCCTGAGGGCAGACGCGTTTCTTTACTAATTCCACGGCTTCCCTGTCCTCTGCACTAAGTAATCAGTTTTTTGAGGGCAAAAACCTGTTTCTTCTCTAAGACACTGCAGTTCTCAATGGCAGCGTGTGACACACAGTACCTCAACACAGGCGAAGCCCTTCTTGGGCTTCCCACAGCTCCGGGGGCTGGCTTAACACTTCACAGACTACTGGACAGTGGAACTGTCTATTCGGTGACCACCCCCCCCCCGACAGACTGTGCTCGCGACCCAAAGGGGCGTTCAGGTCACGATCTCTCGTGGACTCGCGCATCTCCGCCTCCCTCCCGCTCCTCGCAGGAGCACCTTTCCTATCTATAAGCGTTCGACTTCCCCGCTGCCCAGAGCTTCCAGAGAAAGGGACGGAGTCTTTCCACCTCTGTGTCCCGCACCCTATCGCGGAATAGTGCGACAGACTCCCGGCAGTTACAGCAGGAAAGGGTGCAGGCGGGAGGATTAGGGAGGAAAACGGGAGCCGCTCGAGGGAGACCGCTAGGTTCTGGGCCCGACGCCGGTGTGGGGTGCCGAAAGGCGGCGCCGAGGGAAGTGTGGAAGCCTGGTTCTGAATGCCCTACCTTGGGGTAGGTGTGCAAGGGGTAGGTCAGCTGACAGGCCCGGTGGCAGGACGCCGTATCGCCTAAGACCGAGTCGAACGCTTCGGCCGAGGCGGTCCCCGAGCCTCCGGCCAGGGCCATGGTCAAAAGTAGCAGCGGCGGAAGCCCCAGTTGGGCCCGGACCCAGAGGTTCCCCTTTGGTGCCGCCATCTTGTTCCCTCTGTCACCGCGGCTCAGCTTGGTGCTGTTTTCTTTTCAGGTTTCGCCTCCTTCCGGGGCCAGCCCCTTTCCCCGCCTCGCCGGTCACCGCTTCCGCCGTCGCTTAGGCTCTGCGCTAACCGGCCCCTCCTCTGGGACTAGGAACTGCTTCGGGGTTGGTGTCAGGAGGCGGGACCGAACATCAAGAGTCACAGGCGGGGCGGTGCCGCGCGCCGACCGTCCTGAGCGCCCAGCACGCTGGTGAGTGTAGTTCCGGGGCCGCGGGTGCGGTGCACTCTGGGGAGTGTGGTTCCCCGGGCGCCGAGCACTGGGACCGGTGGAGCTGCCACCGTGAGAGTAGGCCTGCGAGAAAGCTTGCGTGTGGTTCTGAGGCCCGCGGCCGGGTTTGGGACCTTCTAGGGTGCTCTTTGGAAAGACCTAGCTGCTGCGAGGGCTGGTTTTCCTGGTGGGTCTCGCTTCAGGCTTGTGATTGGGTGCTCCTTCCCTGCCCCTGAGTGCCTGGGGGGTGGGGGGTTGGAGGAAGAGAACGGTGTTTCTCTTCCCTCGGGGGTCCAGGCCTGGCTGTCACGGTTAGGGTACCCTGACCAACGAGTAAAGGCGCCTGGAGATGGCTGCTTATGTTGAGGACCCTGTTGGCATCTGGAGGTGGTTGTCGCTGGTCACTTGGGCACTCTTGGTGCTGCTGTGGAGTAGTTAAGAGGGCTTTGAGCTCGCTGAAACTTGAACCCTGCCACAACCCAACGTAGGTTGAAAGAGGGTTTTCACGTCTTCGGATTCAAGACCTGGCCATGTATTGGAACCCTCCCACAGCGTGCATACCCAGGAAGTAGATTTATCACTGTGTTCTTGAGACGAGCCCGAGGGAATCTTAGATCCTATAAATATCCACGAGACCCCCATAATTTAGGAGTGTTTCCAGAAGACCCGTCTGTGTCACTGTGGGGAAAACGTATCTTGGCAGCCTCAGTGAAATTTTAAAATCTGCCCTCTTCTTGAGCAGAATACCCTGAAGCGCACGGGAAGGTAGTTGGCATCCCCTAAGGATGGATAAATTCGTCATTCGAACGCCTAGAATCCAGAATAGCCCACAGAAGAAAAATCCTGGAGGAAAGATTTACAAGCAGGCCACAATTGAATCTCTGAAGGTGAGAAGGGATCTGGGACTAGAGACAATGTGCAGAGGACTGTGTTGAGAGCCAGTGTGCAAGACAGTGGCAAAGAGCCAGGGGTTTAGCTCAGTGGTTTGGCCACCTGGTGTGCAAGCGCAAGGAGCCGAGTTCGATCCCCGGTACCAAAAAGAAAAAGACAGTGGCAAAGAGTTCTGCCATGGAAGATCTAGGGATTAGTTCTTGCTGCCCTCCCTCCCTGAAAGTGTATGTGACCATTTCTTTTTCAGGCTTCTGTTCATCAATTTGCCCATCTCTGCCACACCACACCATTATAATTACTCTGTCTTTAAGGTGTGTTTGTCAGAACGTAGAATACCGCCCCCCTTTGTTTGTTTGTTCGTTTTTTGGTACCAGGATCGAACTCGGGTCCTTGCACTTACGCAGCAGGAGGCGAAACCACTGAGCTAAATCCCCGGCCCTATACCCCCCCCCCCTTTTGTAAAAATTCTTGTCTGTTAGGAATGTGTAAGTACTTAATACTGTGTGATTCTAGATGCCTTACACAAACCTAGTAAGGAGTGAGTGATGATTACAGTACCTACTCTAGTATCTTACTGGCCAAAATGGTATCACATAGCCTCCCAGCTGCAGTTGGGAGTGGGAAAGAGTCTTTTAATGAGCTTTTTGCTACCTAGAACTCAGTTTGATTTGTCAGCAAGGAGGAGGCAAGGAGTATACACAAAGAAGGAGGGAACATAGGTACCTAACAAATAGTAATTATTTCACTGAAAACAAAATAACTTTAGTTAGTCCTTTTTGCCATCTGACTTTTTCTTTTTCAGTTTCCGTTTTGCTTCTGCTTCCCCCACCTGGATTCCTAATGTTTGTGCTCCCCAGAACTCTTGTTACATTTTGTGTATTTGGTTGGGTGATCTTAAGGCTTTCTATGCTGACCACTGCTGAACTTGTACTTCCTGTCCAGATCTCTGAAGATGAGAGGGCATCTGGAGTTTGAGACAGTGTGCAAACAACTGATGGTGAAGCATTGTTCTGAGCATTTGAGCTGGATTCCCAGTTGGACTCCTCTCCCGGGAGTCGCACAGACTTACCAGACCCATGCAGTATTAGAAAGCAGTAAAGAAGATATACATAGAAGTGCTGGGTGTGAGGACCTGCTGTGCAGCTGGGTGATGTTAGCAAGCCGTGCCTCTCTCTGGGACGTCAGATTCCTAATTTATAGAATGTGGATGCTAAACTATATCAGTGTTTATTCAAAGGGCACAGGTGTCACTTGGGGCAACATAATCTTCATTATTTGAAGCCACCCTGTCCTTGGACCTAGCACAGTGCCTGGCACATATTCAGTGGTCATTAAATATTTGTTAAATAAATGAATATTGAAATGCTCTCTGGATCTTTTGGAGGATTTAACTTCGCTGCAGTATTCTATAAATACTTAGTTCAACTATCTGTCATGGCACTTACCCTGATGTATTATAATTATCTGATTACCTGTAGTTTTCTGTGATCCACAACAAACTCCTGAGGCCTGGGACTGCAATATATCATTGTGTTCCAGTTCTGCTCTGACACCTAACATGGAGCCTGCTATGTTGTAGGTTAAAATTTTTTGAATAAACAATAATCCTTATTTTGGCATGCCTTCGTGAAGGTTTTGATAATAAACTGTTCTACACATTTTATTATGAAGCAACTTTATTCTCAACACTATGCTAAGTACCACAGAGAACATAAGAGAAATTTGAGATAAAAATAAGGTCTCATGGGACTTTCTCTTTTTTTTGGTACCAGGGATCGAACTTGAGACCTTGTGCTTATAAGGCAGACAGCAGTACTACTGAGCTAAATCCCCGGCCCTCATGGGACTATCTATAAGGGGATCAAAACAAGAGATTAACAATGATATGGAGTCATATGTGATTCACTACACTGAATCGCTGATTGTCATACAGTCAATCAGGTTAAGAAAGAAGAGAGCTCCGACTGTTTTAGTAGTCAGAGCAAGCTCTGTGGCAGGGCACCTTAAAGGGATGGGAGGATTTGCTGGTGGAGGGAAGTAGTGGCACAGAACCATCAATAATGGTATTTGGTGTAGTTTCCTTTATACATGCACAGTGCTTGCTTTCATGTATATCAGTGGCAAATTAACAGGTCGAGTTAAATGTATAAATTCTAGAGAGTTAGTTAGGTCTACTCTGCCATGACTTTTTCCCATATCTCAGCCTTGTGTTTTGTGAGGTTTTTTGTTTTTGTTTTTTTAGTACTGGGGATGGAACTCAGAATCTTGTGCTTGCGAGGCAGGCAGCGGCATCACTAAGCTAAATCCTCGGCTTCTCAATGTTGTGTTTTGATGCCAAGAATCTGCTGAATGTTGAAGCCTTGGTTTCCTCATCTAATGTCAGGAATAACACCTAACAATATAGAACCTGCAGAACTGGTACAAGGGCTAACTAAACGTGTGTTGGTAGGTAGGTCTGAGCTTTCTGCCTGGCATGTAGTACAAACTGATAATATCCTCTTGTCATGTACAAAAAAGGAGAGGTTTGTGTAGTAAAACTAACGCTAAAGATGATAATGGTAATAATGATTGCTTCTAACTTTTACTGAGCTCATCTCTGTGGGCCAGCCATGAGTATAAAAGGGGCAGAAAAAAAGCTGCTTTTGCTACCTTGTGTGTCCCATGTTCTCTCCCCTCTGCAGTGCCTGTCTGCCATCCACCCTGCCTTGGAGCCAGTCGATTATGGACTAAAACCTCTACAAACTTTTGGTTTCTCACACCAGAGAAACAATGCAGTATTTAAACATGTGTGTCCAATTTATTTCACTTAAGAGTATGGTCTCAAGGTGCATCCATTTACTAGAAATGTCTCAAGCTTATCCTTCTTTATGGCAGAGTAGTACTCCATTGTATAAAAAAAGCACATCTTCTTCTTTTTTTTTTTTTTTAGTACCGGGGATCAAACTTAGATCCTTCCACTTGCAAGGCAGGCGGCAGAACCACTGAGCTAAATCCCCAGCCCCAAAGCACATCTTCTTTATCCATTCATTAGTTGTTGGGCATTTTGGCTATTTCCAAGATTTAGCTATTACAAACTGTGCTGATATAAACATAGATGTGCATATATCACTGTGGTATGATGCCTTTAATTCTTTTGGGAAGATACCAAGAAGGAGAATAGCTAGGTCAAATGGAACCTCTAGTTTTAGTTTTTTGAGGAAACCAGTAGTGGAGAAAGGTTCCTCCCTCCCCCCAGCCCCTCCAGCATTTGTTATTGGTTGATTTCCTGATAATAGCCATTCTTTCTGGAGTGAGATAGAATCTCAGCATTATTTTACTTTGTGTCTCTCAAATGACCAGTGATGTTGAACATTTTTTCATATATTTATGTGCCATTTCTACTTCTTTATCTGAGAAGTGTCTATTCATTTCAAATGCCCATTTTTGGATTGGGTCTTTAAAATTAGGGAGGTCTGATTTTTGAGTTCTAGATATATTCTAGATATTAGTCCTTTGTCTGAGAAACAGCTGGCAAAAAATTTTTTCCACACTGTAGGTTTTCTCTTCACTCTGTTGGTGGTTTCTTTTGCTGTGCAAAAGTACGGGGGATGGAACTTGGGCCCCTTGCGAGGCAGGTGGCGGAACCACTGAGCTGAATTCCCGCCCCGCAAAAGCTTTTTAATAAGATGATATCCCAGTTGTTGATTCTTTGTGATAGTTCCTGTGTGATCTGTTTTGTTCATAAAGTCTGCCTACACCAATGTCTTCGATAGTTCTACCTATTTTAACTTCCAGTGGATTAAGTGTTTCTTTTTTTGGTACTGGGGATCAAACTCAGGACCTTGCGCTTGCGAGGCAGGCGGCAGAACCACTGAGCTAAATCCCTGTCCCTCTAACAGTTTTTAATATTCTGTTCTTGTGTTGAATTTCTGGAATCTTGACTATTATATGCCTTGGTGTAATTTTTTTGTTGTTTTTTGGTATCGGGGATCGAACTCAGGTCCTTGTGCTTGCACAGCAGGTGGTGAAACCACTGAGCTAAATCCCTGTTCCTGGTGTAATTTTGTTTTGATCGTGGCTAATTGGAATTCTGTATGCCTTATTTATCTATATGTCAAATTCTTTTTCCATGCTTGGGAAGTTTTCTGCCACTATTTCTGTGAACAGGTGTTTTATGTCATTTGGCCTATCATCTACTTTTTCATTAACTCTGATCAGTCTTATGTTATTCTTTGCATCATGTAGCAGTTGTTGGGGATTTTTTTTTTTTTTTTTTTTGGTACCAGGGATTGAACTCGGGTCCTTTCGCTTGCAAGGCAGGCAGCAGAACCACTGAGCTAAATCCCCGGCCCTGTTGGGGATTGTTTTTACGCAGTCCCTTGCTATATTTAAGAAATCTTTCTTGTCATGATTGCTAACTGCAATCCTCTCTTCTATATCTGATATTTTATTCTAACATTGGCTCATTCTGTTGAGTATACTTTCAGTGGAATTTTAAATCTTCTGAATAACTGTTTGAATCTGTTTCATGGATTCTACTTCTTTCCTGTGTTGGATGTTTATGGTTTGCATCATTTTCCTAAGGACCTCTATTTTTTTTTTTTAATCTGTCTCTGCTCCAGAGTCAGTAACCATGTCTTTCATTATGGTCACCATCTCTGTTGGTATCTTAGATATTATTTCTCATTGGTTACTTCCACTCTTACTATTTCAGAGAGTCCAGGTGGATGGCTTTCAAATTATTCTATCTCATTGTCTACTGGTGAGCTAGAAGTCTGGGGTTGCATCTTGCATAAATGTCTTCTCATTTTCAATTTTCTTTTTAGATTCCTGGATTGATGCTTATACATTGCTTATGGCAGGTAGCATTATTGCTAGTATTTAGGGCCCTTAGGAAATGACTACTTCGCAGAGATGTCTTCTAGGTGTAGCTGGCTTTGGGGTTTTGAGTATATTGCAAGATCCTACCTCTTCAATTCATTGGGATTGAGAAGTTGCTGCCTATTTGACCTACCCC